GAGCCCTAAAACCCTAGAAGCAGTGATACAGATGAGCAGGATCCCATATGCCTCCCTAATTGGGAGCCTAATGGGTGTCATGCTGTGTACGAGGCTTGATATCAGCTATGCTGTGAGCATCACAAGAAGATATTAATCAAACCCAGGATCAGAACACTGGAGTGATGTAAAGACTGTGTTAAAGTACCTCTGATGTTGATGATCGTAAATCCACTTCTAGATATGTGTTCACATTGAATGGAAGGGCAATCCGTTGGAGATGTTGCAAGCAGAGCACCACTGCGGACTCCACAACTGAAGCAGAGTACATAGCTGCTTCGAAAGCAGCAAAGGAAGCGATCTGGATGAAGAAGTTCATTACTGAACTTGGAGTGGTTCCATGCATTGAGTTACCAGTCATTTTATACTGTGACAACAATAGGGCTATAGCACAAGCCAAGGAACCAAGGTCTCATCAAAGATCCAAGCACATTCAGAGGCGCTATCACTTAATCAGGGAATATGTTGCTGATGGAGATATTAGCGTGCTCAAGGTGGCTTCAACAGACAACATAGCAGATCCACTCACAAAGCCTATGAGTCAGCTTCAGCTGGACCGACACATGGAGAAGATGGGTTTTAGATACATGTCAGATTGGCTTTAAAGTGCAAGTGGGAGATTGTTAGAAATATGCCCTTAAAGACAACTAATTATGTAATAGTTAGAGTTAAGGACATCTTTGATAAAAGACATATTATGTTATCAATGGGCAAGAAAGGTTGTTTTATACATTTAATCATCCTATATTATCTTTCAATATGTAGAACAACCATAGTCCAAGGAATGCATAAGTGGATATGAGAGCTATGTAATGAGATTGCATACATGGAGACTTCTCATCATCCCTGAATCCTGAATATTTTCCTGGTCATAGGAATATTGATTGGGCGTCAATATTCTGCAAAGACCAGTACACACAGTATCAACTCTATATATAGGGAATGGTAAGGTCTCAAGAAATTAAGTGTGGAGACACATCGATATGTGTGTAGGTTGTGGTAGAAGAACAAGTACACTGAATGCAATCCAACCCATAAGTTACAACATGGAAGTCTTTACTCACATGTCAAGCTGGAACTCATAAATTGCAATGGTGCAAACTAATCCTTAGACCTGAGGCATCATAGATGTTTTGTGGCTATGTTGTTAATCTTTGAGGGCATTATACGGTCATGCTGAATTAGGCATAGCTTAAAGGTGCTCATCAGGATTCTCAATAGATTCATGGAAGTAAATGAATGTATAACAAGGAATCTCTACTCTCAGTAAAGGAGAGAGAATACTCCAAGATATGATTAGTCAAATCTCTGCGTAGAGTAGTGGATAAGACTTGAAAGATGAAGTCTTCAAATCTTACCAGGATAATCATATAAAAGGAATGACTCGCATTAGGATATTGACAATTGAATTCCATGATCTAATAATGTGAAAAAGGAGTATAAACATAAGAGAAGGATTCAATTGCACAGTCATTCCAATTTGAATAGGTTCTTTCACAACGTCTCATTTGGGTAGGATGACCAATTTTGCCACAAGTAAAATAATATTGCGGAATATATTCATAGTTAAGGGTAAATTACTCAAATGGTCCTCAAACTTATACCCGATTTACATTTTGGTCCCTCAATTAAATTATTCGTTCAAATGGTCCATCAACTCTATATTATTCGCTCCATTGGTCCTGTCGTTACACTCTGTCAATGTTTCCATTAAATATGAGGGCAAATTGGTCATTTCGTCCATCAACTCTCTCTCTCTCTCTCTCTCCTTCTTCTTTTTCTTCTTCTTCCTCTCTTCCTTCCTAGCTCTGCTAGTCTCACCCGACCTCCCCATCTTCAGCTCCTACCTCCACTGGACCTACAATACCTCCAACTCCTCTCTATCCATCGCCTTTGTCTCTACGCCCTCCCAATCTAACGGCTGGGTAGCATGGGGCATCAACCCCACCTCCACCAAGATGGCTGGGGCATAGATCCTCTTAGCCAATGCTTGCTATTGCTTCTACAAGTTGGGAAGTTTGTATTTGCTAAAATTGTCCCATAAATGATCAAAGTACTAACAAATTTGAACAATTTAGCTTTTGGTTGTGGATTGTTTTACAACTGGAAGAGAAAGGTGGTGGTCATGGGGGAATGGCATGAGAAGAAAACCCCCCAGGGGTAAGTTCAGGGGTAAAAAAGAAAAGAGCGGAGGTGGGGTGAGGATTTGTATGGGAGTGGAGGGTGGTCATGGGAGAATAAGAGGAGAAAACTGCAAGAGGAGGCGAAGAGGGGGTGAGTTCTGGGTCTGTTCTTAGGATTATAATTTTTTTTTTTTAATCTCATTTTCTTCAAAATTTTCTAATTTTGTATTTGTTGTAACCTTATTTTTATTTGTTAATTATGAAAAGTCATATTTACCCTAAAATTTGGTTAAATCTAGCAGAAAATTAGACGGTGGGATCAATGGAGCGAATAATATAGAGTTGATGGACCATTTGAACGAATAATTTAATTGACGGACCAATATGTAAATCGGGTATAAATTTGAGAACCATTTGAGTAATTTACCCCATATTTAAACTATACCGTCTTATCTCTTACTTTTGGAAAGATAACCGGTGTCCGACGAATAAGAGGAAGCATGTCGTCAAAGCACACATGAATGCGAACGAAACGCCTTACACAATCAGTGCCATTACGGTTGTCCACCCAGGGTAGCGCTAATAGCCTCAGCAACTGCAACCGTCATACAAAATCCAGGGACTCCTTGCAATTGAACCCAAAACGTACTAGAGAAAGAGATAAGGAATGCAAACAACCATCATCCAGAAGATCCATCACTAAGATCAGAGACCGCTGAAAAGCCCAAAGGTTCCATATCAAGAATTCGTTTTTTTGTCTCAATCACTGACGAAGCACACCCAAAAACGATTGGTGTCAACTTCCTTAATTAATAGAAGCATCCTCAGAGCCTTTCCATAACTGCGAGAAAGTTTTTATAAAACTATCTCAGTTGATAGGTTGAACTCAAAACACTTGAGCCATGAGACTATAGATAAAACTATAACGAAGCGATCAGAGACATCAGAGGACCCAATGACCACACTAGCGAGTTCGCGTGATGTAAGAACCAATCGACTTCCAAAAGAGCATTTGATCTCATCAACTATTTCATCGGGAGCAATAACCGGAGCAGACATGGCAGCGGCTCAAACCCTCGAAGAGAGGGTTGTTGAAGAGGGACGACAACGACGTTGGAAGGTGAGGGAGCGCGACGACGACATTGGAAGGGGAGGGCATGCGACGATGATGCAGGAAGGCAAAGTCGAGTGCGCTATTGCATAGAGTGCGAGTGAAAGGAAGTGATGAGGGTGCACTGGAAGGCGAGGTCGAAGGCGCGAGGGCAGAGAGACTAGCTGAGGAAGGCGGACGAAACTGAAGAGGAGGTGACGGCGCACTAACCAAACCCTAACCCTAACTTGTGTCTTTCCTCGCTAGCGAGAGAGAATCTCTTTCCGTCTTATTGTCATCCAATTTTAATGCAAAGAAACTTGTTAAGCTGGATATGCTTCGTAGTTGCATGTCCACATTGGTACATGAATCTTGAACACATTACAATAATTGACAACAAAAATAGGGATGCAAAAGTTATCTGTCTCCGGACCACATACTGTTTACCAAAATCAACATTTTCCAATAGATTCTTTTGAGGTCTGCCTTAGCTTATTCACGCCACTTCTCCACCCATGGTAAAAATGGAGGCCAACAACTTTCGGAGCTACAACCTCCTTATAACATTCACTTCAACTCAACTTCTGGAAATCCCTTCACCGCCTCATCATCCTCCGGTGTTTTTAATGCTTTTCGCTGCCAAATTTCTTCGTATGTTTCCTTATTTGAGACTCAGTCTTTTACTGCAGCTCCCTTGAGTCTTGAAAGCCATTTTTTATACGCTGAGCAAATAAAAGAGAGGTCTCAGATCATCAAATTCTAAAACATTTGGCAGAATCAATTGCTCCAAATTTTTCTTTGCGCATTCCGAGTCTTTATGTATATCAGATTTAGAGAGCTTGGTAACCGAGTCTTTTGGCACACTGCAACCCCATAACAATTTATTACTCATACAACAAAACTGATTACTAAATTTTCCTTTTTTTTTTTCTAAATACCAAAAGGACATTGCATCCATAGTTGAAGAAAGCATGATATCAAACAAAACATTGCAAAGCGAAAAAATATAAGTGGTGTTTCATTTTATCAAAACCACTAATGTACAGTAAATGATACTATTCATATATAGCAAAGCATCTTGTACAAAGAAAGTAAGTTAGCAGCAGTATACAAAGTGAAATATCAACTTAACTTCGTTTAGGATTTGGCCAAAGTATTCACTTGGATAGATCTCTTAAGTCAATCATTCAAAGTGAATTTCTTTGAACAAGACATGATCTATCAACAAATCCAAGCAAACTGTGAGCCTTAAGAATGAACGTAATATGAAACGTCCATAGTATGAAATTTGTTGAATTAAATCTCATATAGGAAATGAGATTGAAAATGTCGGAGAGAAGATAATTTTTTTAGGGGTAGCCATGACTTTTCCTTGTTTCATTAGAAAATACTTCAAACCAGAATAAATAAATAAAAATTTAAAAAATAAATAAATATATAAATATATATAATAATAATAATAAAAAGACAAATGCAAAATTATTTCTTAATATGGCAAGTTAACGTTCGTAATAGAATTATCTTAATCTGTTTATAAGTGTTCTTTACGTACTCAAATTAGAACTTATAGGGAGCCGACAAGTTCTTCGTGGGATCGACCCCGTACTTACATAATCTATACTTCATTAGATTCGTGCACTTGCGGGTATTTTTAATTGGTTGTTTGCACATTAATTTGTGTCCTTTTAGGAATGCAACAGTTACCCAGCCCACCACTTGAGCTAATTATTTAAAATAATAATCAGACTAGAAACTAATCAAGCTTTACTTCATGAGAGACTTAATGGATCCAATGATGGAGAAAACCAGCACAAAGAGTCCAACTATAGTTGAACTGCCCTTCCAAAGATCCTTGAAGTAAACTCGTTTCAGGATCGAAATGTTACGGTTGCAGAAGCTGGTTTCGTAGTGCTCCTTAAGCTTACTACAGATATTTGTATAGCAGGTTCCACTAACCATAATCTCCTGACAAAGTGAATTAATCAGCTTCGCCACTGCGTCGCTGCTGCTTAGCAAGTTAACTATAACATGGCTTTCAATCAGCGCATTCACATCTTCCACAGTGTCCACAAGCTGATCCAGCATCAAAAAGTAACTGCAAACATAAGCCTCCTCTGGGTACATAAGCTGCTCCAAGGCCATCACGTTTCGAATAATGCAATCTTCCCCATACCTGGCCCGAAATTTTGTAAGCTTCAAGTTCATATTTCTAAAACATGCCATTTTGAAATTACATTTGTGGTCCTCAACTCTTTTTATGACGTAGCGTTCACCTTCATTTGGCCTAAACTTCACCCCTGCTTCCTTCAGCTTTCTTACGTCGTATATAGTTTTGGTACGGATGTACTCGCCATTTCCTTCCCAATTCATGTTTTCTGTCCGCATAATCTCTTTTTCTGGCCACATAAAATATCTTACCAAGTCAGTGAAATGTTTCACTTGTTCATTCTTAATGGGTTGTAACTTCGTGTATTCCTTAAAGAACTCACAAGTAAGCTTTAGAAAGGGGTGATCATAAGCAGGTTCGGTTTTCTTAGTCTCCATACGATGATCATCAGATGTAGAAGTGGTCGAGCGGGAAATTGGAAAACAAGGCTGGAAGCAGGGGTGATCATAAGCATGTTCGGTTTTCTCAATCTCCATACGATGATCATCAGATCTAGAAGGGGTCGAGCGGGAAATTGGAAAACAAGGCTGGAAGCAAGGCAAGCAGCTGTGCAGGTCATCCGCCTCTTCTTTCTCCTGAACATTTTTTCGGGGATTGGAACTGGAATAGGTGGGGTTGGCAAAGTGATATAGCGCTTGAAGAAGAGGATAAGGAAGCTGATTTTCCAAGAGTATCAGGTCCTGCTGGACAGCTTTCCTCAGCAATGGCGATCTTAAAAGGTAATAATTTTCATGCTTTTCGGGTTCACAGTTCCTCAAAAAGAGTTCAAGGATGAAGCAGGCATCAATTAGAATTACCTTCGCAAATTCAATATCAGGCTTGATGGCCCCTGCATAACAACGAAGATTGTCTTCTTCTTTCTCACGGATGAAGTTTTCTAGTTCCTCCTTTTTCCTTGAAGTTCGTTGGCAGAAATTCTCATAATATCTCATTTTAAGTCTTTCCATATCCCCCAGTTCCGGCTTGCCATGGTGGAAAGGGCCTATTGAAATCAATTGAGGAGTGTATGCTTCATTTTTTACATTCCGGAGTTTGCTAGGAATCCGGTAGATACACCACTGCTCCGAGAATTCAACAGAAACGTAGCATTTTTTTTCAATCTGATCAGTTTTCTTCGCCATTTGTGAAGCCATCATCTTTGTCCTAGTGACCACAAGACTAAACAGTGTTTATTAGTTGCAAAAATGATTGTAATTAAATTTTCCAGCAAAGGATTCACAAATTAATATGTAAATGATATGGCACGTGAAATGATACTTCTTTAGTTTGAATAAATAGGCAAGGGTAAAATTCAAATGCTTCAACCTTAAATGGAACAAAGCTGTATCATCACCTTGCAATGTAGTTTAATGATGATAATGTCTATTTTTTAGATATGTGTTCAAGGATTTTAGATAGGGTTTCACATTCGGGGACAACCAAAGTTTTTGGTGCTAGAAATTATTTAATATCTCAAGATCCAAAGAGTACAAAGCGAAAGATTGCAATAACAAAATAAATCCAAGAAAAAGATTTATATATTCAAAAAATATATATAAAATTCACTAGCTAGCTGCATCAGAACTCGTTCTATATTCTATAGACGAGATATATCATATACCCTCAACATATATGAAAATAGAAACAAATTAAAATGTAGCAAAATCAATGGATGGGAGTAAAGAACCTGCTGCAAGTTTCGATTATGCTGAAAACGGAAACAGCAGGTATCTTACAGTTGCTGAACTCAGAAGTTCTTGAGTACTACTCGATCACCACAATCTTGTTCTTGTAGGCTTTTAATCCATCGGTCTACTATATTTATATTGATCACAGGGAAATTGAGCAAGTACGTGGAAGAAGATGCAGCTGCAAGTGTAAATTAATTAAAGTTAAACCAAGACTAAAACAAGAGGAAATTTAAAGGTTTTATTTAATTTAACTTAAACAAAGACTGGCGTTAGGTAAACTAACCACGTTCAAATTTTGAGAGTTTTCCACAAAACACTCATGCACGTGCAAATAAACGTATCTCAAGTTCCGTGTTTTTCTCAAAATTTGCATTGTTTATGTTGAAGCTTTTACCAATATTAATACTTCCGTTGAAATTTAGGTGTTTTTTAGCCAATTTTATTAATATTTCAGTTCAAAACGGGAAGGGCAAAATGGTATTTTTGTATCAACATTGATTAAAATATGAATAAAAAATTAAAATTAAACTCTCTCTCTCTCCCCCTCTATCCCGATTTCTACTCCCCCCAAACTTTATTTTTTGGTTTTTTATTTGATTTTCTTTTATTTTTATTTTTTTTCATTTTTTTGTTTTTAATGTAAAAATACCATTTTACCCCTGCATTTAACAGAAAAAGTTAACAAAATTGATGGTAAGACCATTTGTCTTAACGAAAGTGAAGTTAAAGGACCACGGGAACGAATTTGGAAATTGAGGGACTCAAATGCAAATCGAATCTAAGTTCAGCGACTAATAAAACGATTAACATTGGAAACAAATTAAAATACAGCAAAATCAATGGATCAGAGTAAAGAACCTGCTGCAAGTTTCGATTATGCTGAAAACGGAAACAGCAGGTATCTTACAATTGCTGAACTCGGAAGTTCTTGAGTACTCCTCGATCACCACAATCTAGTTCATGTAGGTTTTTAATCCCTCGTTCCACTATTTATATTGATCACAGCGCGAGACGGACCCATGAATTGCAAATCGGGCAGGCTAAATTTACCTTAAAGTACAAATATATTAAGAAAATTTGGTAAATTTTTGTGGATTTTGGTTGGTTTTTGTAGATTTTTAGGCTTGGACAACATATTGTAGGAACTAAAAACTAGACTAGGTAACCTACAGGGGTGGCTAAATTTTTTTTGGGTAAATTATAAGCCCTTGTTTGTTATATGTTTATTTTATATAAGCACTCTTTTTTCAGTATATTTTCTTCATCATATTTAGAACTTTTTGTTATTATACGACATTTGAAACAGAGAAAATGTTGAAATTATTGATAATATTATTGAAATATTTGGAAGGGATTGAAGGGAAACAAAGAAAGAATAAAAAAGAAGAAGATATTTACAAGGAATTGAAGTTAAAAAAGAAAGTAAAAATAAAATAAAAACATCACATTTTGTTGGGCAGTGCACCTGACAAATTAAAAAAACATCTCATCCCAACACAAATCTCCCCCCTCTTTCTTTTTAATTCTATTTTCTCGTCTCTCTTTTTTTTAATCTCTCCCTCTCTTGTTTTATTCTTTTTTCCTTCTCTCTCTCTCTTTATTATTTTTCCTTCTTCGTCTCTTCTTCTTTTCTTTCTTCTCTCTCCATCTGCTCCATCTCTCTGTTCTTTCTTCTTGCAGCCGGGCTAAATGTTAGTTTAAGCTGAGAAAAAATAAAAGCCACCGGGCTGTAGCCCATGTTAAGCTGTACTAAGGTTCGGGCCTCACAGCATGCAAGTGTGAATTAATTAAAGTTAAGCAAAGACTAAAAGCAGAGGGGATTTTAACGTTTTATTTAATTTAACTTAAAACAAAGACTGGCGTTAAGTAAACTAACCACGTTCAAATTTTGATTGGCTATCGCCAGGGTGGGTGCCAAGTACCTCCTACCTTCTAGTAATTCTCTCTAAAAATATATAAAATGTAGTAGTTCACACTTTGGACAAAAACTATACTAGAATGCTGGCCAATGGCCAAATAAAGCGGAAACCTAATTGAACTGGCTTCTGAATTTTCATGGCAATTCCTATGATATATATAATTGCTTACCCATCTGTCCCATATGAAAAAGGGAAAGAAAAAAAAAACTTAGGTCCCTTTTGGTTTATGGGAAAGGAGGATTGGGGATGGGAAATCAATTGTTTTCCCATGTTTGATAAGTCTAGGCATGGGAAATGGTTGCCTGGCACATGAGAAAGTAGAAGGGAAAGTAAAGCCCTCCTCCCAACTTGGGTTTTGTTTTCCCTCCTCATGGGTAAGGCTGTGCGGTTGGACCGAAAGTACCGCAAACCGTTGGTTACCGTCCGACTTTTGCGGCCGGTAAACCAAAGTTGACCAAAAAGTCAACGCGGTTGCAGTTGACCAACCGGACCGATCAGTACCGGTCATGGTTGCGGTGTCTAGAGATCAATTCCGTCGGCTACCGCAACCGACTGAGTATATTAAAAATGAAAAAAAAATTGAAACTTCTCTACAACTTCCCACTCGCAACCCACATCAACCCTCTCCCTCTATTTTTTTCTCTCCCACTCTCCCCCTGTTTTCTCCCACAAGACCCGACCACCCCCATCCCCATAATAAGAGAGCGAGATAGAGATAGACAGAGACGGAGTCTAGAGAGGGAGGCAGAGAGAGAGATGGAGAGACAGAGAGAGACGGAGACGGAGGAGAGAGAGCGAGAGTCAGAGACGGAGGAGAGAAAGAGATAGGGAGAGAGAAGAAGAAGACGAAGAAGAAGAGGAATCATGGTTAAGTTCGAGGTTTGGAGTTTAAACCCTACGCTCTCCAACTTTTGCTAATTTTAGTTTCGGGCTTTAAAAAAAAAAAGGTTTTGGGCCGATATTCCTTCTTTTTTCAACTAAAACAAACCCCCTCTTGTAAACAAAAGAAAAAAGCCCCCCACCCATACTATTTTAGGCCCATATCCATCACCATACATAAACCCTAAATCACCCTAACCCTCTCTTTCGCTCCATCGCCGTCTTCTTCTTCTTTCTGGTTTCTCTGAGTTTTTTTTTTCTTCATCGAATTCTTCTTCTCCTTTCTCCTTCTTCTTCTTCATCACCATACTATTTAATTTAATATAATTGAAAAATTATACAAACTTTATTTTCCATTCCTACTTTTTTTTATTTAATTTAATATAATTGAAAAATTATACAAACTTTGTTTTCCATTCCTACTCAAAACAAACATGGGAAAGGAAATAAAGTGAAATCTCCCGTTACTTTCCCGGTATTACCAAACGTGGGAAAGAAATCTGCCATTTCTCATCCCTTAGGAAATCCGTTCTGTGAACCAAACTAAAAAAAGACTTTTTACTATCTGCGATTTCCTATATGTCAATTTATAAAATTAACTATAAGACTTTTTCCTTTGACAAAAAATAAAAAAGAAAAAAAAGAAGACTTTTTTTATGTGGGTAAGGGGTAGAGAGGGAGATTGAGCAATGGATGAGATTGAAGAGTATCCAATGGATGAGATTGCATATAGCATAAATGAACTAATTTTCTTTTTAAACAATCAATAAACATATGTTTTATTCTAAAAACAATAATTAATAGACATTGGAAATGACAAAACTCTAAGCAGCACATACAGAAATTAGGTAATATTAGACACAAATTGAGTTTCAGGAGGCAGAATGACACAAATTGAATTTCATTAGAAAAATGAGAATGCAATTAAGTTTCATGGGGCCAATCAATAATTAAGCCCTTCCAATTCTGAATCAAAAGACACTCGGTTTTCTCTTATTTGCGGGTTGTCTATTACGTTGCTCATCTATTCTAGCCGTCTTCTCAGTTTTATGTAGTGCTCAATGCTCGTCTATCATCTGCTCCAATACTTAAAACTTCATGAAGCCGCGGGTTGTTACTTAATGACATGTTACCCTATTAACAGAATTTACATTATAGTGAACATAGGATCTCCATAATTTGGTGCTGTGGTTTGCGATAAAATCTGAGCCTGAAAGGCTTTGGATTATTCCTTACTCAGGTTCGAATCCCTCCAATGTAACAACAAAATATAAAATTGGGGCATCAAATTTTAGATGCTACAAGGATTCTGGCACTGTGGCCACATTTCCTGCAGAGCTTAGCAGACGCAGATTTTGACTTCGGGCTGGAGAATGAATTTTGGTCTGAATCCTCCTTTCATGTCATCTGTAGAAAAGAAATTAGTGAATTTTTATTCATCTATTTGATTGAAAAAGTTTTATTTTTATTTTTATATATATAATGAAATTAGTCAGCGCACTTAACAGGCTAAACTGTGGTGGGCATCTATACCTCAAAAGTCATTTATTTTATTTTATTTTTTCCTTTATTTTCTTGTGTAAGATTCATTGGAAAGATAGTCATCGAAATGTGTCCAGTCCAGACACCCAGTTTGAAACTGGGTGTTGACTATCTTTCCAATGATGACATTTCGATGAGTATAAAGGCAAAAACAAAAGAAAACTGGGTTTTTCTTTTGTGCCAGACACCCAGTTTTTTTGCCTTTATACTCATTGAAATGTCTATTTTTCACCCATAAAAAACCCAGTTTAAAACATAAATACGAACTAGGTCATTTTGTCCAGACAGAACACATACTCAGATTTCTGCATAAATGCATATTCTTTGGCAAATAACATCCGAAGTCACTTACACAATCTCACTGAAATCAATGTACACTGTACTAGAATTCCAGCAGCAAGTATGGCAAACAAATCTTACCTTAACAGCTCCAAAGTAATCCACAACCTTCAATGAGCTGCCTAGTGACCACCATTCTCCCAAACCACACTTAGAAACAAGAGATTAAAGCTTAATCAGTCACTAACTCAGAAAGAGGAAATTTTCGAAACTTAACCAAATCCAAGAATGGTTTACCTTATCTTGTAGAGCTCGTTCATATGATCCTAAAGGCGAAAGCGGCGCAAGAATTGGAGTTGTAGAATGAAAGTTATGGTAGAACGAAGTTTGAAGGAGAAAGAAGGGAGAGAATGAGTTTCTGGAAAGAGAGTCGTGAAGTAGGAGCTGAACTGGAACCTCATCCTTCAAAGGCTTGGTGTATATTTGTCCTATTCGTAACGACCCCGACCTTGCGTCAGGGAAAGTGGCTGAAACTCGTGAAGAGAAACTCGAGAAACTTGTTTCCCCCTGTTTTTTCCTCTTTCGAATCACCAACACACACATGGGGAAAGAAGAGATCAACACCTGTCCTTTCAATTTCCAAGGTCTCGCAAACATGATCTTTATTTGGCATTTATGCTAAATCTAATAATGAATCAAGAGCAAATTGACAATAACTGAGAAAAAGAAGAAGCAAGTAACAAGCAAATAAATGTACCTTGTGCTGCATTACAAGAGCAATCTCTCTTGCATCAATTTCTCCCATGCCACTCATTTCTACAATGGAATATTCTTTTACTAATGTTACTTGTATCTCAATTTTTATTTTCCCTTTCTTTCTCCATCTCCTTCCACTAAAACCTGAAAACTGGCTCTCGAGTTCTAAAATGATAACCATTACAAAAGGAAGAACCTATATACATTAGCAATATTTACGTTTTGTACTAGGAAAGAAATTTGGGGAGGCACTTATATACAAATTTGGGCGATAAAGCCGATGATGGGATTAAATAAGTTTGTTTAGCTACAGACAAGTCGTTCACATGTTTCATCTGAATTTGCAAAGACCACACATATAGCTGTTACGAAACTAAAAAGGTAATTGAAGCAACTTATCAATTTTCGTGTCATTTCACGTGATCGAATATTCTAAATTTGATTTTTAACGTGCACTTCCCCGTGCATCAAGAGGCTTTCAAATAAGTTTAGCTAGATAAAGAAATTTTGTAAAATACCTTTAAGTCCATTGTTTTAACGAGATTAGTTTTGCGACAAACTTCAATGAAGTTTGTCAAACTGAAAACAAATCCTAAACTAATTTTGCGTGAATAGACAAAGAAAATGCATGCTTCAAATTTTTTTAAACGCTATTGAACACTACGTCACGTTCTTAATATCTATAAGATTTCATGTCATAGAATATTTTGCATTAAACTATTTTTTAAAGAAGAAATCTTACAAATTTTTAATTACAAAATTCATGCATCGGGTTTTTTTTTTTGTCGAAGTTTCAATTAATTGCAATCCCCCAAAAGGGCAGAGAACAATACAAACAAAGCCGGGCTAAAACACCGGCCAGAAAATCAACAGGAAACAAAGAGGAACAAATCTAGCTTAAACCATCACAGTATAGCATGCAGATCATGTTCGGAAGCCAAAAAAAACTAAAACGGCAAAAGCCAACCTAAAGGCATACAACCCCCAAAGAGGCATTACGCCCACATTCGGCATAAAGCCCACATTAAACATAAAATACATAAAATAAAACACAGGAAGCCTAGCCGCCACAACCAAAGAGAAACTCCACGACTGTAGATGGGCAAACCACTAATCACCACCATGAAGAACCAAACACATGTAGGTTAGTAAACCAAGCCAAATATCCCTCAAAACATAGCCCACCCAAGATTTACTAACAAAACCAGAATTAACTCAACTAATACATCCAATGCATCGGGTGTTAGGCGGCCAGAATTTTGTTCCCGACTCACCGGTGGAACAATGGTCAAGGGAAGGCTAAGAAGATAAGCAAATTGTCATATAAATTGGAAGTTTTGTATCAGAGACTGAGAATACACGACTCCATCTCACCCACTGGTGTTGTCATTATTGTTAAATGATTTCCATTAAAAATAATAATTGTAAAATAATGAAATTTTTGAATATAATTAAACAAAGGTCATTTGAATGTTCCTAAACATTCCAAAGAAAAATGATTGTAATCATATTGGTGTGACTTAATTTCCTCATTTGCTATAGGGAATTGTTGGCTCGAGTTGACGTTTCCCGTATTGATTGATTGTAATTTGTTTCGTTTTCTATTTCTAATTTCCTACTGTAATTAGAATCAGGAGTTATAGTTTTACTTAGCCTCCAAGTTTACTTGGCCTTCAAGGCATAATTATTTCCCTTATTTTAGCATTGTATCAGAGCAACGATCTTGTGATTGCGGCTCTACCTAAACCCTAGCCGTCGCCGCCATAGGTGATCAAGACCTGCCAATCACATCCCATGGAGGCAGCTCCACCAACTCCTCTACCACCTTCCACATGATCTTAGAAGAATGGATCTCCAAAATTACCAAGTGTTTGTGCCTGATAAATCACGGCCATAAGCTGGCCGAAGGAGCCCTTTCTCTCGGCCCTGGCACTTGTTCGCAGAAGCTGAAACGCAGCGTTTCGCCAGGGTATTTCGCCTTCCTAAAGATAACAGAAGAAATGCTAAGGCATGATCATCTCGGCCTCAAGCGTAGGCCGAGGCCGAGGCCGAACAAAATTGCGGCCAAGGCATTAAAGGCAAATCATCACGTGACAGCAGGGTCCCAGGCTTCATTTAATGAAGTAGTGCCTGTTTAATGCAGCAAAACCCATTGGCCACAAAGAAGCATTTAATGCATGAGGGAAGGTGGGAAGTGACTGAAGTCAGGATTTGGTGATGAGGATCAGAGTGATTAGACGTGGACATTCTCACAAGAATTCTGACAGCCTAAGATGTTGGTTCACCAGCTATCCAGGCCATAAATGCGTCTCCACGGCCAGAGGCTCAGAACCCACGATCAAGAGCGGCGGCCGAGATTCACCGGGATTTCTGGGGTCACACCACCATACTTCACGATCCCAAATGTCGATTGGACTGCCCACTTGCGCTAATCAGACTCCACTA